GGACACGCATCGGTAAACAAGTCGCATATGTTATTCCACGTACAAGTTCCAGTCAGAATAGTGAACTATAGAGTGTTCGGGGAGGGGGCAAGTAATGAATGAAGTAGTTGCAGGAGTAACGGAGGTGTGTCACCCTGATGTGATCGGAACAGTTTTCCATAAAACGACAGTAGATCCTTGAAAAAACTAAAAATTGATCATACTGCCATTTTTCAAGTTTTAAAATCAACCTAATTAAAATAAAACATGTTTGGTGAGTCATGGATTACTTAATAAAATCAAACAATCATTCAACAAAATTATTTTTATTATAGAATTGTATAAGGAAGTTTGTTTGTATTTTAAATAATAATAACTAGAAAAAAAGTTGGCAAGTATAAAATGAGATTTTTGGAATAAATTAATTTTAAGTTTAAATGCGATTATTGACGTTAACTCGGTTTATTTAATGCATAATCAAAGTAAAAGGAATAAAAAAAGAATTGTACTGTTGCGAAGGAATTCATAATGAAGTAACCGTTGACAAGGTTTGGTTATATTTCTGTCGTAATGCTATAGTAATCATGTATATGTACCTGTATTGCCAAACTATAGTGAATATATACATAACACATCAGCTAGAAATAGAAAACCTATTATAGCTTTTTGAGGTAAGAAGAATGATTTGTTTTGTAACGATCGTATTGGCAAATGTATATTTTTAACGGCATACTTATTAAATATATTTTTTAGGAGTTTTTTTATATTTTATGCAAAAGTAAGTGATTTATATTTTTAATCTTGAGTTCAATTTTCCAATTTCTATTACGGATGTTTATTTAAATTAAAATTATATAAACTGAAATTAATAAGTGTGAATGACATGCACATTGATGTGCACACACAACACGTTATTCAATGCTTCTATTAACAAGTACATTATTAGTATCGTGAATATGACTAAGAAGACTTATTTCTCAGCAGTTACGAAATGATTCAACCAGAAACGTAAACTATCGGTTGCCACTTCATAACGGTTTTATCAAGATTATCTGTCATAAAAATTCGAATAGCTTTTCTCCATTTATCGTTGGTAAAACATATAATATCAATCTTTTATCAATTTTATAATATTATATTGAACTTTAAAGGAAGGCATAAAATTAAAAAATATAGATTGTACGTACGATAATAAGAAAATAATAAAAATATAATAGTACAAGTAATTGTACATACAAGCTGTGTAATTAATTGTAAGAGAAAATCTGACGAATTTTACAATAAATACTTCCTAGTTCACGACTTTTCATTTTACCACTTTATGTAAATTAAATTATTAATGAAATAGTGACTAAACCAAAAAAAAAGGATATTCTTATTTGCAAAAATGTAATCACATAATGATTTTAAGTAATTAATTTATTTAATATAATTTTGTTTAACATACATTATTGCTAAATTCATTTAAATTTTCTGAAGAACGGGAGCCGTGATAGTAATTATGAATATTTCTTTTTGCCATAAAATTCACTATTATCATGCTAAATAAAGATAAATATAAGATCATATATATTTATTGCAAAGTTAATACCTAAATATATCCGTATTATAACAATAATAAAAATGAATTTACAGCACTGCTAATTACTAGTATCATACCAGAAAAACAAACTATATGAAATGTATCGAGTTATATTTGATAAATTTGCAAGATACATAATCAACAAAACCAGGACAATAATTTTCTCATAATACCAAACAAATGAAAGGAAACAGGGAATTCACAAGGAAGTATGTATTCAATAAAACATATAATGAAATTTTACGTATGACGTCTCATGCACAAGATGTTACCATATCGAGCGGTGTGCAAATAAATGACTGCCTTGTTCCCTCAACAATGTACATTTAGTCGCAAGGATAAGGTCTTTACTTAAAAGACAAACACATGAGTCATATTCTTAGTATAATAGTGATAAATCTATTCAAAGATGAGCTGTCACTTGCAGATTTCAGACCGAACAGAAATTCAGAACAAAATTTTTACAATCATAACGGCAATAAGTAGCTTCAGTATTACTCGTTAGTAAATAAAAAGCAGACATTAAAGAAATTATTAGCAATACATTCAAATATAACAAATTTACAAGAACAAAATATATTTCCACAGAATTGAAAAGAAAATTATTTCATAAAAAAAAATTATACTGACTTCCTTAAATTATAATAATTATACATTAATAATTTTATAAATAAACGAATTAAAAATTTCTAGATATTTATAAATACACATCTGAAAATCATGAAGAATGAAATGCGATAGATATTCTAAATGCAAATAATTTCCATTATTTTTAAATATTATATTTATTCTTAGTATACATTCTATACATAAATTCATGTTTGTGAAAGAAAAATTACGATTACTTGAAACTTCTATTAAATTTATATTTTTCACATTCTTTGCAAGTAGTAATTATCCTACATTTATCATATTATACTAATCGTACCCCTAAAGAAAACTCGACTGCATAAGAAAGTTTTTCGGCATTTATCACAAATCAAAACAAAGACGACCTGCACCCTACAACTCGACCCTGACAGACTCGAGGTTGCGTTACTCGATTTCTAGCATTTCGTTCTAATTTTAGAAAAACCCGACTCGGCTGCTAATACCGGAAAAACAGTTTCACCGAAGTCGTTTGACACAAGACAGATACTGAGGGCTACTTGGATGAGATTCAGGTAGAAACGGTTGTCGATTTGCATTGAGACGAAAGCACGGACGAACATAAATTAAAGAACTACATTAATGCAATCTGAACAATCTAACCAGATACAAATCAGTATTTAAATCGTTTACTAAAATATTGATAAAATTTAAAGAAGAATCGTTTACTGTATAATTTTAAACTTCTATAATTATATTATGTTGATAATCTTAATTTACACTCACACTTAACGTTATACAAGACATAAATATTACTCACTAGTAAGTTATGTTGACTTTGACTGATACGAAGATACAGATTAAAATTTTCCCTCCTCGCGAGTTTCTATCCCCAAACATCTGCATACCCCCTATACCTATTTTGCTAATACAATAAACGTTCATATGCTATAAATTAAATTAAATTCAATATCTTATAATGTTTCAATACCACGTATTCTTATTTGTTGTATAAATATCTGTCACAATTATAATGATTCGCGAAATTAATCGAACGTCAATCATGTTCACGTGTTTTATTCTTTACCGCTTGAAACTTCGAAATTAATTATTTAATAAGCAGAAAAATAAAATTTTTGTGATAAAAGAGGTAAAAATAAATATTGTAACTGTTGTGCAATATTTCAAGTTGATAGATACAATAAAAAAATGGTGAGATTACAATTATTAATCTATACATATTTGAAATATTTCTTGCAGACTCATTTAACTTCTTTTCATCGAAATAACCCTCCTTCAAATTAACAAGAGTCTTATCATAAAAAGTAATTACTCAATCAGGTCACGATGCACTATGATCCTTACCGTTTAATCACATAATTGCAAACGGGAAGATCGCATAATCGATAAAACCGCTCCAAGTTCATAATTGAAGAAAAATCCAATAAAATGTTACTGCTCAACATGAAAGCCCACCAAAAAAGAAATAAATAAATAAAATCAATCCATTATAGTCACAAACCATCGAAGTACATTATTATTCATTTCTTTTTCTCTTCTGTGAATATTAGAAACAGTCCTAAACTATCAAACACTAACACGCATCCTCGAAGATCATAAAAGCGAACTGGCACAGAATTTCAAGTTTCACTAATACCGCTATACGTATACGTACCCCATGAACAATTCATTAATACATGCGTCCATGAAATCGGAAGTACATTTGACCCCCGATTTGTGCAAAAATCTGTTACATGTAGATTCATTTCACACGAATAGAAATCGGGTAAATAGAGTCAGTCGATACAAGAGAAAAGAAAATATTGGAAAGAAAAGCTGGTATAAGTTTCAGAAATAATTTTGATATTTTTTTGTCCGAGAATATGATGTACATATACAATTCTAACTAATTAGAATGATTTTATTTATGAAATAGTTACAAATATTTAGTAAAACAAATAATAACATAATAAGTTTTAATGTAACAAGGAGGTGGCCTGATTTGAAACCTCTTCCTTGCAATTCAACTTTGATCAAAATTCGCCATTTTGTAAGGACAGCGAGAGTCACTTTAATTTGGCTAAATTACGCGGTTTTTTCTGTCAATTACCTTCGACATACACAAAACTATTTCCGTACCATTTGTTTATTAATTGCCCAGAAACCACTTATTTAGAGATAACAACAGACAAAATCAAGATAATATTACTTTCGTTACTCCCACATTTTCTAAGAAATGTACACCACATTTCCGGACGAAGGGAGTACATATTTATGTCACATAGCTAAACAAAAATACTAAACGAAAGTATATTTTATTTGGTGTTATTAAGTTCAGATCCCGTAAACCAACACTGAAACTACCAGGCGGATCAAAATAACCCATTTCTAATGTCTTCTTTTTTTAATCACTAGAAAGACAACAGATGTATCTCAGAGAAACAACTAAAGAAATTAATTTAGCAATACGCAAACTGAATTGTAAATCAATTGAAGCCTTGATAGCTGCACTCAGAGTTTCCGTAGAGAAATTTCAAAAAGTTTATTTAACTACTCGGTAGTTTTAGTGTTAAGAACGCGCATAAAAACTACCGCGTAAAAATGTGCCGCATGAATCGAGGGTCGACTATACGTTCCCGCTATGTCACAGGCTACGAGACGCGCGATAATCGAGAAACTCTCGCGCCTATAAGCGGTTGACTCGCCGAAAGGAATCTCCGAGGCGATCTCTCCGAATGACAAGGCGAAAAATTCTATTAGCAACCGAATTCTCACACCTGCCCGCGACCAAGCCGAAAGCCGATTTCTCGCTGGCGGATGTCAGCTGCCCGCCTCGAAATGGTTCGCTTACCTCCTAGGTCGCTGGCTATCGGTGCCGTATCCCGTGGCACAAGAAAAGTATCCTGGAATCCTAGCGTTCACCAGCACTTGAAAACAACAACGGCCGGGAACCGTTTTTCCGCGGAACGTTATCGAACGGCGAAGCGAAGGGGACCGGCGGGGTCGTGTGCGGCCGACGCGACGGTCGGGTCGGACAATTTCGGCGACACTGGAGGATCGTTCGATCGGTCGTGACAGAGGAGGTCGGTCAGGGCCGACGTGGCTGACGCGCGCGAGATGAATTCCCCGGCGAGATCGAACCGACGAAAGATACAATCTATCTTAGCCTGAGGCCGAGTTAGGACTGTGGACTCTGACAGACTGCGAGTGAGAGAACGTAGTCAGCGGGCAAGCCTACCAACTCTCCGTTCGCTCGCGCGGCCCCACCATCATTTCGCGATGCACACTTGGTAGCGATAGGTGTGCGCGATCTGTCTCGGGGAACCGGTAAAATCGTTCCAGAGAACACCGGCCTCCCCGGTTTGTCCTTTAATGCACTTGGCCACGCATCACGGGAGAACTGTAATTAAATGTTTGACATTTCTATGTCGATTTCCGTTCCGACGCGTCAACATTTTAGTCCTGAGGACAGGAATCCGTTAACCCTCTTCCTTGTAACGTCGTGGCAAGCTCGTAATGATTTTTAACGGAATTTAACGAACAGAAATGTTACTGGATTGCTTTGAATTCGAATTAAATATTATTACTTTGGTATTAATTATTATGTTTTAAAGAGAAAGAATGTACCTAGGATTTTCCTCTTCTTTTCAATGAATTATATTTTCTAACTTTTTTTTATTTGCAAACAGAAATTTTACTAGATTACTTTTAATTCGAATTAAATATTGTTCTTCTTCTGTGGTTATCGTCCGAACTAAAATGAAGCAATAAAATGTGTTTGAACAAAATGGTGACCATATAACAGTGGAAAAATCCACTTTGTTGCGAAACTTTCGTACTTCTTATTTAATAAAAAACTGTTGCGAATGTTAACGTAATTTTACTATAAACTATAAAGGTATATCAACTTTAGATGTGTATAACATTTTTAAGAAATCAGGTCACTTATTATTGAGATATCGTGGTTATATCGTAATTAAACACACAAGGGAAAATATAGAGTGTTTTAACGAATAATAATGATTATTCCATAAAAATTATAGTATATTATTTTGTAACGTTCCCAAATATACACAAAATTGTAAATTAATATAAATGTACACAAAATTATTGTCTCGGATCTACATTAAATGTACACAAAATTATATAATCTTGAATTTACATTAACCTAACAATTTTTTGTCTTACTGCCCAAGCATAACCATACAAGAATTTTTGGACATCGAATTTCTTTGTCATAATTTCGGAGACTTGCACTTTAAGAAAGTTATGAATCAAATCACATATACGAATTACTATTTTTTCAACCCTCAGGTGACGCTGAAATCGCGTTCCACTTATTCTGTTAATTTTGGCGAGTCGTGCTATTATCGTATCACATTGAATTTTTAGAGTATTTAAATAGCAAGGAAAAACATGTATCTGCGTAATATGAAGATTATAATGTTGGCTTATTTATGCAACCAGATTTCAAGGTATGTCATCCAAAAATAGTGTTAATAACGTTTGGTTCTTGTACCTTTTTTATATGGAATATTCGCATTTCCGGCAAGATGGAAATCAACACGCTTGCGACCAGCGTTTGTGTCAATAACAATCTGCATAGTTACAGTATTTTATTAAATATAACGTATCATCTTTATAAAAGGAAAATAAAATTTAAAAAAAGATCTCGTCAACTTTCTATACATTACACTATGAGTTAGGAATTTAAATAAAAATGCATGAGAGAACGTTTAATTTCTTTTATGCACGATACAAATTGTTGAGGGCCATAAATATGTGATATTGATCGCGAAGATGTTAAGAAATAAAGGTATTCTCGTTTCTGCGGCATATTTCGATTTTCTTTTGTATTACATTAAAAGTTTCCTTGTGGTAAGGCTGTACGAAACATAAATTTGACCCGCGATTTTACATCGAAAAATATATGAAACTTTATCAACGTTATGAAAGTATAGTTCTTTTAAGCTTTTATATGGTATACCTATAGTATTATGGAATATTATTACAGTCTTTTAAAAATTCAATATAGATTTCGAAACTAATTTTAAATGTGAACACTTTTACGATTTCAATAATTGCAAAATAAAAGAAGCTAAAGCTGATCATTTTGTTGCGTTTCATAATTTTAAGTGTCAGTGTGATGGTCATATATTACAAGAGAATTAACTTAATAAATCCATGTCGATGTGAAATTAAAATGTAAAAATTTAAGTCCCGCAATAAGAGACTGTTAAAAGAACTGTTTAAAAGTTTTAAAAATCAATCTTTTTCCTTTATATATTTCTATAAATTGATATTTTAAAGATATTATACAACAAGTTCAATGTACATGTCAATTTTCTTTACTAAGAATAGACATTCTGAAGAATCGAACTTATTTATTGTAAATTGCTATATGATATACATTGTCTGAAATTGGAACCTATAAATTACAACATGACTTATAACTTGATTTATTAGCATTCAAATAACATGTCAAAAGTACCTATGAAAAGTGATAGAAGTTGAACTCTCTAAAGACATATGAAAATTTGCATTCAGTTAACCGTCGTTACGAATAGTTGCCGTGTAAAATATATACAACTATAAAATTCAACAAAAAACGAGTCTATGTATTGCTACATTAAGGAACTTCATATTACAGTCAAGTAGATATAACCGTTAAAAAAATAAAGAACTGATGAAGTCCTGATGTTTTGAATGATGACAACTTCAAATGATAATATTATTGTAATTACTGTTAAGACTATATTATTTTAAACAGTAGTAATAATTATTTAATAAGATATAATTTTAAAGAAGAAAACTGTTTTCAAATATAGTCCTATTTTTATTAGCCTTAGTTGTAATCCTTTAAGAGATGCTCTACTCTTTCATATTTTTTACAGTGTTACTCGATTAGAATATAATATTATAGTGTTCTACACGCGTTCAAGAAATTAACAATGTTAACCACTTCGAAATGAAGCAACTCTCAAATGTATATTTTTTAACTATGTGATAATTGTGATATCTCAAAAATGAATAAACCAATTCACTTGTTTAATAAACACTTTTAATACACGCCTTTTTATCATCTGAATTAAGAATAAATTAATACTTGTAAAATTTCTTTTTTTGCGAATTAAGAAACATGAGATTTTGTTGGAAAAAATTACATATTTTTTCACACAGTATTTTTTGGTATTTTTTTTCTTGCAGTTCAGGCGATACCAGCACTGATGCAAATGAAGAATGTTGTTATATATTTATTTCATAACTGTGAATATTTATATATAATATTTCTTAATTCGATAATTGCCATTCATAATATACTATCTAAGACTTGTACTTGAACCGTTATGGTTTTGATGAATGTAAGACGATTATGCTAATTACAATTGATATACTTACTTATTACTTTTGTTTTTCAATATTTACAGAACTTACCTGAATTTTCGAATATTAAACCACTAAAACGCATTGAAAATAGATGCTCAAAGCTATATCCCGTTTGGATATGTTCGAAGATGGAATCATTTAAATATCTATTTTTTTTAAATTCGTGGGTAATTCAACTACCATTACGTAAACATCATTGTATTTATCATATTTCAAGGACCTTTGAACAATTATATCGATTTGGCGTGTATTTCATTTATATGATATTCTGGTACAAATTATGTTTAACAAAGTTCTCTGTATCGAAGATAAGAAATAAATCGGAAACGATACATTTGATAATACATTTTGATGATGAATATTCTCTTTACTTCTGAACAAATCGTCGCTACAGAAACAGCGAGGAATGTATTAAGACACGTAAGTCATCATTGTTTAACAACGAAGTCAAGTTTAAGAAGAAGGAAAAAGTAAATAAAACGCATTTTCTTGGAGAGCGTTACAGACTTTCACGATATTGTTAAAGTGAACCAATTCATCGTCTTTAAATGTTAAAGACCGTGAAGTCGATATCTTCTTAACTTACCAGATAGATGTAACGGTATTTTCTTCAATAGTGTGACGGAAGAGAAGAAATCATTACAGAACTGAATATTTTTATATCATACTTCTGAATATGAATTACATACGCTACTAGATACATACTCTTTTAAATATTAGTTATCTTTCTCAAATAACTGCTTAAAACATTCTATCACGTCTATAAAAATATAAATAATAATTGTGGCAAACTTTCCTATTTGTTTTAAATCCTAAAGCTCTTTAACAAAACAAATAAGTTTTTCTTCGCATTCTTTTCTTTAAACGAACAGGAATGAAGGAACTGAATTTACATACATATTTAAAATATAAAAGTTTCTTGCTTAGAAACGTGAGTTAATGGTAATTATAGTATTCTTACGCAGCCTAATAGTTTTATCCGACTTATACTAATATTATATAAACAGACATGAGGTTCATAGTAAATAATTAATTAGCGAAGGCGTGTAATACTTACTGCAGAACATAAATTTAAATTGCAATAACAAGAGATGCTTGAGATAACGTTTAGTTATTTGACCGTAAAGGAAGAGGACGTCTATAAGTCGTTGAACACCAACCGGATGTCTGAAGAATGCAATACCGGAAATATAGTTCTACGACTAGGACTGTAATGTGGAAAGATTATGTTCGACTATATCTCTAATAATTCCATTTTATTCCTTGATAAATGCCATTTAAGATTTGAATAGTTAAATTCTTTTTTACTAAAGCGGATTTCTTCTGTACCCGTTCTTCTTGAGACTTTTTATTCCGTATCCGTGGACTCTTGGCAGTAGATTAGCAAGTATTGTACCTCCTTCTATAGGCGAAAGGTTAATTAACAATAGTAAACGTTTACTTCAAAGAAACAAGTGTGTATACTTCATTTTGTTTTGATACCACAAATAAATTCCATTTAAAAAATTTGTATAAAAGAATATTTTGCGTCTAAGAAAAAATAGAGATTGGTTCCAAACTTAAGAGATCAGTAAAATAATATAATAAACCATATAAAATTTCATGTTAGAATTTGGAGTAATTATGTTAAATTAAACCAAATTGTATAAAAAGAAAATTTATGTTTTTCTAATTCGTGTGAAATCAAACAGATTGTGTAAAAACAAAAAAATAATTCGTGTTTGATCAAAATTATGTAAAAAGGGTTCGTGTAACAACACAATTGGGAGTACAGAGAAATGTCATTTATCCGAATCGAACGAATTAAACAACGTATTCATCAATTATTTACAAAA